GAGGGCGTCTTGTCAAGTTCCAGGTCTCAGGGAGAGGCGTTCCCCGCCTGACCGCTGGGTGTGAGGTTGGCTGTGCCTATCTGTGCGGATGCCTTTTGTCAGGCTATGCTCCTCGTAGAACGCTGGATGCTGAGCTGCGTCCAGTTCTTTTTCTCATCAATTGAGACAATCGTGTTGTTTTTCTTCTCCATTTTGCTGATTTGATAAATTATCCTATTTCAAATACGGAATCAGACTTGCATTTCTGGGGTGATCTCTAATTGGTCTTGATGTATTGTCCTTTGTATGTCTTGTTAGATGCCATTTGTAGTGTTTTGTTGAGGGTTTTTAAATATATTTTTTCCTATTTTTTAAGTATACTTTTGGTTTCAAGATTTAAAAAAGTAATTACACTAAACTTATTGTGGTAATCATTTTGCAATGTATTTATGTCAAGTCATTATGTGGTATACTTTAAACTTACACAGAGCTCTATGTCAATTATATCTGCATAAAACTGGAAAAAAATGTAATTACATAAACATACCCACATCACAACCCCTGGATACACACTCCACACAAATATACACATACATATATACCCAATGCACACTCACGCCCAATAAAGTTCTGTACAATCACCCCACGCACACACACTCAGATACCATACTCACTCACGCCACACATACATACCATACACACACAGACCACTCAAACCACACATACATCACACCATTCACACATGTGACACACTGACAACATGTGATCAGGCCACACACACAACATATATCACACAGTCACCACACCCACACACCACCTAAACACCACACACTGACACCTCACACCCACACCAAACAGACACAAATTCACACACACAAGAAACATCCTGAGTAAGGATGCCTAGAACAGCGACCCCAGCTCTTACCTCCTACACAAGCAAGGTAACTGTCCCCAGCCGTAATTTCCATACAGGAATTTCCCACGAGCTGGAACAGAGAGAGGGCTGGCAGGGTCAGGGAGAGTGAACAGCAGGCATGGTGAGAAGCCACCCCATCCCCCTGTTCACATTTAGCCCACACTCACCGAGTTAACAAAGTCTTCGAAGGACCTGAATCCATCCTCTGCATACATCTGGCCATCTTTTAGTACAATACTATTCAGCTACAAGAGAGAGGAGGTGGCTTAGGTGCACAGCCAGGGGTTGAGGACACAGCACGTCCCAACCCCAGGAGACAGTCTCGCCTCATGCCCTGTTAGACTCCAAGGCCAGGCCCTGGCGTCTCCCCTCAGCCCACCCTGAGAGTGGAAGCTCTTCCACCATCACTTGTGGTGTGTAGGTTTTACACACTTGTTCATTTCCGCAGTAGCTGTCTATTGCAGGACTGTCCTCTGGGCAACCCTGGGAAAGCCAACTTGGTAGCTTTCCCCAACTAGGCTCACGGTGGCACCTGGTTACCTGTTCGGCATTACCTGGTCTTGCCTGTAGTGTTTTACACCCACGCAGTAAACCTTGGCCCCCATATTCCGAGCCCTGTTAGCCTAAGAGAAAGAAGACTTTTAGTACAAAATACCAAAATATGTGGAGCAAAATGCTAGTAAAGATGGACAGGACTCACTTCGTTCTTAGTCTCCCGTAACGGCTTTGTAAGCAGTGCTCCAGCAGCCAGAGCAATAATCAGGCTGACAGCTTTGCGGTCTGCAGGAGAAGCAGGGAGGGGCCTGGTCAGTAAAGGCACCCAGAGGGACCTGCCGCAAGCTGCCAGCGCCACAGCACTGCTCCCCACACCTCCTCCTCCCGGGGAGAGGGCACCCAGACCCGAGCACCTGCCGTCCAGAGCGCCTGGAGGGCTCTGCAGCCCACTGCTGGAGGGAGAAGGGAGCTCAGCCCAGGACCCACTTTCCAGATGAGGACACCGAGCCCAGCTCAGGG